GGTTATCAAAATGAGGACCGAGGACAACTGAGGCTAAAAATTCATAAATTACTTTAGCAACTAAAACTCGTAGAAAGTGAAGAACATTTGTTAGAAATGTTAGGAATGCAGCCGTATGAGCTAGTGAGAACATAAATCGTGGGTTTTGGAGGGTAACAACTGAAGCCACTAAGAATAGTTGAGGAGGTGGGGGGAGAAGGTTTCTCGCATGGCCGCAGCAACATCCTGCACGCTACTCATTTGACGAAGAATCTGATTACTCAATTAAGAAACAGTTCAAGCATTTCTGGGGGCTCCTCTGCTCTCTTTCTCAGTCAGCTCCTGTTCTTCTGCTTCTGTCCGCATTTCGCATTCATATCACTCGTACCGGGGACTGAATGTGAAATCTTTATAAGTTGTACGTGGCCGGAGAAAATACCCTCAAAATTTCAGCCTTCCAGCATTTCTGACACTGAAGAAAAGGGCACGCCTTTTCTGGTTTGAAACATTGCAAATACGGATAATGCTGTGAAATTTGCACCAACCAGCAGCTCTTCCACGTACAATCTCCGGGTTAGAGACTGTGAAATAAAAACTAAAATTTAAAGAAAAAAATGAAACTAAACGAAAGCTCAAAAATAGACAAATAACACATAGAAAAGCTTGAAAACTCAAATCAACCAACCTTGCCTTTAAGATCGAGCAGGTAAATTGCTGACGAAGACATGTCCTGGCCAAGCCCCTGCAAAATGAAAACACATCATTACGGTGAGATCACATGTATGTGTGTATGTGCGTGCACGTGTGTGTGTGTGTGTGTGTGTGTGTGTGTGTGCTAAAACGCATAGTCTGATTTTTCTGCCCGGGCTTAAATTATGGTACCCTCTCAACCAGATTATCCAAAATGCGCGAAATTTGGCACCAACAGACTTCTCATGCCATAATTTGGTAGCTGAGGAATTGACTTCAGCATCTCGTAAAAAACCGCGATGCTGCACCTAGGTGTTTGCGCGGTGACAAATTTTTCATCAAACCAGTCAAGATTCCATCATATACAGGTTACTACAAATATGACCCGGTGATTGTGTATCCTCTTTCCTTCTGTTTCTTTCTGCCGTCTTTCTCTTTTCTTTTTCAATAAACACTGCGACCATCATACTGACAAGGTTCCGTTGCGGTGTTGTGTTAAGGCGTATGCGACTTGACGGACCGAAACGTCTTATCTCGCTCTTATCTCCTTCTCTCATACTGTAATCTATCGCGAATTCGCCGTTTAGGCTTCCAGGATCAACGTAGTTGCTACAGCCTCCTTATCCAAGCCTGCCCCTCAAGGTAAAGCTTAATTTAGTCTGGGTCATTAGAGTTCAGGACTAGAAGATGATCAAAGGATATCTTGAGGCCAGTTGAAGCTTTGCTAGTTGTGCTTCCGTTAAGAAAATCAACCACTGAGTCAGAAATCCATTCAGGTAGCAAGCAAAAATGAACGTCACAATCGCCAGCAGCACGCTGACCACCAAGCAAAAAAGGCACAGGTCAAAGAAACAAATGGAAAAGTTAAGCTAACATGTCCCCAATTACATAGCGAAATGGGGCACTGTACTGATGATTCTCACCCCATTTCGCACAATTTCAGTTGTCTGTGTTTACAGTTCAGGGATGAACATACAGACGTCACCCAATGCAAATACCGGCTAGTTTAAATGAGGTTGTAAAATTTGGCTTCTTCACAGAATATCAAATAAACATAGTCGACTATTCCATCCCTCTTCTCTTTTGTTGTTACATCTTGCCAGCAGCAATGTTACACTTTTCGGTACTTATCGGCAGCTATGCAGCTGCAAAAAATTTGCCTACGAATTATTAACACCGATTCCTAAAGCAACTGAGGCAACGAGGAACAATCACAAACAACAAGTTGGATGCATAATCGGATCCAAACGCCTCTACGGCTAGTAAAGCAGCACGAGTTTGCATCCAGGTAGAAATGCTTCACAAATTCTGCACGAAATCCCGGAGTACCAAAACCGTTAACGAGAAACAGAACAGCTAAGACCCAGGAAGCAGGCACCAAAACTGCCAACGACTAACAGAGTAGCGAAGACCCAAACGAAACCGGTACCAAAACTGCCAACGAAAAACAAAACAGCCAAAACCCACGAGACGTGGCCGCTAAAATTGCCAACGAGTACCAGAGTAGCTAAGGTCCGTAAAATGGGCACGTTGTTATGACGTAATTCACGTATGCGGACGTGGCGGTGATTTGTTGCTAGGTGGTGTTATTGATCGATCCGCTTTGGCTGCGTGTGGTGTAGGCTGAGTTCCATGGGGCTTTGCGTAAGGAAGCGGGATGCGGGGCGTTTTTTCGTTGATTGTACTACTTGTTTATAAGTAATACTTGCAGGTAACAGTGTTCGCGCTGGCGCCAGCACTGCCAACCCATCGAGGAATCAGGAAACCAAGCGCGAATATTTCGCGAAACAAGTGATGTGGATCAGAGTGTCACACAGACTATGGTATGTGTTAGTATTCTTAGTGATTTTTTGGCATCTACTAAAATT